ACTTCGGATCAAAAGTTATTCATACCTTGGAATGTATATGGATGCTTGGTGGCTTACTAAGAACCTCTACGTGCATTTTATCATTAACAGGAGGTTCCTCGCACACAAACTGAAACTCTTCTTCCCAGCGTGGATCCCTATTTTTCTTTATGTGCTGCATTGACAGACCTATTATCGTTGCCAAGGAAATAAAAGTACATGAAAGTCATTGTAAGAAAAGATATACAACATTACCTTAGTTTTTCTCTGCTCTCCTCTGAAAAGTATTTGTACATAAGGATTTGTGTGGTGTTTACCCTCCAGATCTTGAGCTTCATGAACAGTAACAACAAGCAAACCACCACCTGACGGAGTACCTTCAGGAGCCTTTTCTAGCATATCTGATTTAGCATCGTCGCTGATATCTGATGAAACTTCGTCTTCCTTGAAAGGTTTATATATCAATTCTATAACAACCTGTCCTCGTGATTTTTCATTTTGAGCATCGTTAGGATCCATATTCTTAAGCAAGTTAAGGGTCATGGTTCTTGGCTCATCAGGAGTAAGATCTCTGAGTGGAACAACATTCATGCCCATTTTATCATGTTTCCCAACCTAAGAAGAACATGCAATTAATGAAAATTCATAACGCATTAATACTTGTCACCAAATGATAAATAGTAATTACAGAAATTCAAACTCCCTTAAGGTTTGCATGCTCCAAAAAGTGATGGGATAATCATAGATTATCAACATAATAATCATATATATGTTGCTATCGGAGTGCATATAATATAATATGGGGAAAAGGTTCCAAATGTATCACCTTAATCAAAACTATGTTATATGCAATTAATTTACTTGATCATTTCCATTCAATCTTTTGGATGGTATATAAACAAAAAACTAGACATTGGATTATAGTTACTCATGCATCAAGTGATTGCAAAATTAACTGTTTTACAACAATACAACTACAAAGACAATGAAAAATATGTGTTAGAAGTATTGAAACATTATGATATTTGTTTTATGGAAGTCCTGAGACATTTAGATCATGATAAATGGAGAGGAACATCCATGAGAATAATCTAATTCATTCATCAAGAGGTGCATTCTTAGACAGAATCTAAGGTGACACCTTATAAACCTTTTTCCCCAGTAAGATATGTGTTTATATGGGAGTGTGTATATATTATAATATAATAGTCAGATATATTATATGTTTATATGGGAGTTCATATCATTGTCATACCTTATTACCTTTTACATCCAAGTTAAATTGGTAAAAATTAGTAGTGTGAAGTGTTACTTTTAAAACCCTACAGGATTTTTTGTTAATCATGCAAACCTTAGGGAGATGTTCTATAATTTACCCATAAGGAAAAACTCATGACAACGGAATGAGTGGGAAATAATGCATGCCTGTTCCCAATCAAAAACATTGAGTTCAAGAGCTTGAGATTCCGGATCCTTGACGACAAACTTGAAATCCTCATTCCACTCAGGATTAAGGTTACTGCGCTTCACTGTAGTTTTCTTTGATGGAAGCTTGTCTTCAGTAAGCTTAAGTTTAACATAAGGGTCAGATTTACCCATCAGATCCTTCTTCTTCAGTTTATGTGCAGTAATAACCTTCACATGTAAAATTCCAACAGGCTTCTTGGCCCTGAAAGATTCATAAAGAGAAAAGCTTAATGGCAGTGGATATAAAAAAATGAAAATATTTCAACAATTAAGCAAGCATATATGGTGCTACTTTGATGGATCCATTATGGCAACTTCCAGTGTCTTAGGCCAAAGATACATGTTTGCAACCTGCATTTTAATTGTCTCCTGCACAAGGTAGATAATGAGATCAAACTATATATAAGGGAAAAAGGATTACAAAATCAGCTAGCTCACAGAGGAAAAATTAATATAGAGCCCAAAAATATGGAAACCTGGCAATCTACCTGTCTATTACATCAGAAGGAAAAAGAAAATGTATGCAAGTTACATAACAACTCTATTAATATGTTATGGAGAGAACTCACTTCCGCGATAAACTACTAGATAACTGTCAAAAATTAGATTATTATGATCAATCTTCAAATGCGCTGTCTGGGAAGTAAAATAGTTGACAACAGAAAATTCAATACCTCTTATACGTTATAACCGTCATTACAGTTGTTAATATATCAATCAATCAATTCAAGTGATAGTGCAATGGTAAGTCATAAAATTAGTAGGATATTCAAACAGAGTTCAATGTGAAACTACAACTTCGATAAGATTTGAAGAAAAATTGTAAAGAAATTGAAATGCTACAAATAAACATACATGAGAAATGAAGAATGTACATGAACCAGAAAGTACCTGCACAAATCTGTACAACCCAGGAATAGACATGAGATCTGCACCTAGAAGTTTTAACCCAAAGTCCACATGTGGCTGTAGAAGGATAAGTTTCAAAAAGGTTAAACATAACAGAAGTCAAAGACAGAACCTTTAAAAGTAGAAAATGATGTGTGCAGACCTTTTCCATGAGGGAGACCAGAATTTTCGCAAAACAAGGAAAGCTAGGAACCAAAGGTTTTAAAGTAATGCGTGGTGCAGCAAAGATCTGCAAATCTACCACCTGACAAAAATGCAGATAGGAACAGCATCAAATAAACCTGAAACACAACATAGAACAAATTAAAGTACGTGTTTGGAATAAAAAAATACAGAAAATCCCCCTAAAGTTTGCTTTACTGACAGATATCTGCCTAAGGTTTTAAATTTGATATTTAATTCCCACTTTTAATTTCTATATGTTGCAGCGGGGGTCTTCATTGACACAGAAGATATTTATATAAGAGTGGAGAATAACAACACTGGCTAAACACAGTGAACACAAAAAAAACAGCACACAAGGATTTAACATGGTTCAGTCAGTATGACCTACGTCCACGGGCGAGAACAACAGAAAAGATCACTAATCATAAAAGAGAAGATTACAAAGAGGAGATCACTCTCTAACCAGAGAATCACACAAAGAAATATTTCTCTTTCTATCTCACTCTCTTCTCTCTATCTCTCACTTCTTGTTTTTCTCTCTAATTCTTCTCTGAGTCTGCTTGCTCTAAACTCTCATCCTCGCCCGCCTTTTATAGCTTCTTAATATTAATAAAAAAATTAAAAGGGGTAGGTGAAGAGTTGCAAAGCTTGACATATTGTCACAAAAAATTAGGCAGCCGTATTCAACATAATTCAAGTCACTTTCACAAATCTTCACCTTGACTTGAATATGAAGATCTTTTCTTCACTCTTGCTGTCTCGCCAGAAGCTCCTTACAGGCTTAACCTCCGCTTTGTTGAACTCCAAACAATCTGAGATGTTGTTTTTTGTTGGCCCAATAAGTTGGCCCGTTACTCTATAGGCCCAGCTCCCCATTACTTGTGCCCTAGCCCCTCTATTGTCTTCTTCCTACCCGATAGCTCTAAATGACTTCCGATCTCTGTGATCTGATGGCCGCCGCTGTGAATCTCATCTTCCATCCCTAGGTCGGCTCCCTCCTTTGTTTTCTCCCCTAGCCTCTCTCCCGTGTCAGCTGCCCCTTCCCTATATAAGGGTAATGGGTTGGTAGTAGCTCGGTAGAGGAGAAAAGAGGAAGAAGAGATAGTGAGGAGAAAACTGAGCTTGAGCTCCCCTCTGCTGTGTGCGATCTCCCCCCTTCTGCGAGTTTTGTGCTCCTGTGAGCTTTGTGCTCTCAACCCCTTTGTGTGATCCCCTTTTGTGAGTGACGGTTGGAGGAGATCAGTAGCTTCACCCTTTTGTGTTCTTGATGGTGCACAGTTGAAGAAGGACTGATTTCAGCAGGCTTCTGAGCCAAACGATAACGAAGATCCTCAACAGTGGTATCAGAGCGAGGTTAGTGTCGCTGTGCTTCAAAACCGCCGCCGATCGCCGCTGGTTTGCCACTGGACTTCGCCGGACCGCCGCCGCGTAGGTAAGATCGAAACCCTCCCCTAGGGTTTCGCTCAGGTGAGGTGACAGAAATCTGTTTCTGTAGTTATTAGCTTGATCTTGTCTGCATCGCCATCTTTGAAGTTCCTGTGCATTCAATCTGATTAATCTCTGGCTTTGTTGAAAAATTACAGTAAATATTTGGGTTTGTTAAATTTTTTTAGAAATTAAAATACTGTTTTTTGGGAGTGCTCGTGTGAAAGATCAAAGAGATTGAAACAAGAACTTTGTGTTCATCGTTCTTCTCATTTGTTCGTGCTAGTTGCTTCACACGTTTCGAGCCGGATAATTACCAAAATCGTGTTCAACAGAAGTCCGTTAGGGCTGTTGGTCAGACTTATTTAACCTCTGACACTGAAAATAAACGGGCGGAAATGAACGAAAATGCTTGTTCCACAATTTATTTGAACTTATCTGACTCTGTGATTAGAAAAGTTGGAATTTTGGACTGTGCTAAAACTCTTTGGGATAAACTTGAAGAACTCTATACTGAAACCTCTTTACCTAGTAAAATGTTTTTTCTTGAATTTTTTTTTAAATTTAGATTGGATATGTGTAAGGACATTGAGGAGAACCTAGATGTTTTCACAAAACTTATTTCAGATATTAAGTTAACTGGTGATAAACATATAGATGATTATACTCCTATTGCCCTTCTAAATGTTATTCCTGACTCATATAGTGATGTGAAATCTGCTATTAAATATGGTAGAGATGAGGCTACCCTTGATGTTGTGGTCAATGGTCTTAAGAGTAAGGAATTAGATTTAAAACATTCTGGGGGAAATAAAAATTCTGGTGAGGTTATGCATGTGAGGGGTAGGCCTCAGAATAGGTCTAATTACCAAAAGAATGCTAGTAATGGGAAATCAAGTAAGAAAAAATTTGAAAATGGAAGGGGTAGATCTAAGTCCAAGTTTAAAGCTAAAAAATGCTATAATTATCATGAAACTGGTCATTTTATTAAAGATTGTCCTAAGCCTAAGAAAAATCAGCAAAATGAACATGCTAATATGGTTGTCTGTGAGGGCAAAATAGGTGAGATTTTCATGATTAATAATCTGTGTGATTATGCATATTTGAACTCTGTGTTATCTGATCCTTTGTGTAAATCAGATTGATTGGTAGACTCTGGTTGTACTTTTCATATGACTCCTTTTAAAACCTTGTTTTCAAACTACAAGAAAATAGAGAATGGCTTTGTGTCAATGGCAAATGAAAAGAAATGCAATGTTTTAGGAACTGGTGATGTATGCCTTAGGTTTTCCTCTGGCTCTGTGTTTACTTTGAAGGATGTTAGGCATGTTCCTGATTTACGTTATAACTTGATTTCTTCTACATCTCTAAAAAATGATGGTTTGGAGGGAAAATGGGGTAAAGGGGTTATGAAAATTCTGAAAGGATCTCTTGTTGTTTTTACTGCTGAAAAACAAAATAATGTGTATATTTATCATGCTGAACCTGTGCTTGATTCTGTTAACTCTGTGATAGGTGATAAATCTGTTTTATGACATAATAGATTAGGTCACATGAGTAATAAAGGATTAGAAATTTTGCATAAAAGATGTCACTTTGGTAGTGATAAAATATCCCTCATCCCTTTCTGTGAATCTTGTGTGCTAGGAAAACAACATAATGTTACTTTTCCTACTTCTTCTTTTCCTAATCAGTCTAAGTGCACTAGTGTACTTGAATATTTGCATGCTGATGTGTGGGGTCCTTCTAGTGTACCTACGCATGGAGGGAACCAATATTTTCTTTCCATAATTGTTGATTATTATACTAGAAAAGTTTGGGTTTTACTCATGAAACAAAAATCTGAAGTTTTTGATAAATTTAAAAACTGGAAAATTATGATTGAAAACCAAACGGGAAAGAAAATAAAAACTCTTAGGACAGACAATGGTCTTGAGTTTTGTAACAAACAATTGAATGATTTGTGTACTACTTGGGGTATTAAAAGGCATAAATCTGTTCCCTGCACACCCCAGCAGAATGGGATTGCTGAAAGGACGAATAGAACTTGTTGGCCTTCTTGTTTTGATGATGTTTAACAAACAATTTACCACTAATGTTGTTTGTCTAGTACTTGAGTTTTCGTATTTATTGTAGACAAACAACGCAGTTGGAGGATGGATGGATTGCGCCATAACGATCATATCAAATGGAGGTTGGCGGAATTGTGGAGTGAAGCAACATGCAATTCATAGTTAAAGATCAAGTTCAAGCTTCATCCGCATGTGTACAGAACCTAGATCTAAGAAATGTGTTTTCTTAGGATATCCTGAAGGGGTAAAAGGTTATAGGCTTTGGAATAAGAGTGAACAGGGGTTTAAGGTAGTGATAAGCAGAGACGTTATCTTTAATGAAAATGAATTTCCTTGTTTACCTTTACATGTTCCTATTCCTGAAAATGATGCTCCAAATGAGGTGGAGCAAAAGCCTATTATTAATCAACCCAAATCATTTCCTGAAGAAAAATTGAATGATATAATTATTGAAAATCAAGATGAGATTATTCCAAATGAGGTGGAGCATGATATGCAGGAAATAGATAACATGCATGATTTGAATGATTATCAACTCACTAGGGATAGAAATAAAAGAACCATTAGGAAACCTGAAAGATATAGAGATTGCAATTTGATTGATTGTAATATGTCTGAGTTTGCCTTTAATGTGTTTGAATCCCTTGAGTGCAATGAACCTAAGACTTATAAAGAAGCATTAAGGTCAAAATATTCTGAAGAATGGATTAGTGCTATGAAGAGTGAGATGGAATCCCTAAAAATTAACCAAACATGGAAACTTGTTCCTAAACCTGCTAGTTGTTCTGTAGTGGACTGTAAGTGGCTGTTTAAGGTGAAACAAGAATCTGAAAGTGTTAGGTTTAAGGCTAGGTTAGTAGCTAAGGGATTTACTCAAAAGGAGGGAATTGATTATGCTGAAATTTTTGCTCCTGTTGTCAAATTCACTACTGTTAGAATTATGCTTGCTTTAGTTGCTCATTTTAATTGGGAATTAAAACAAATGGATGTAACTACTGCTTTCTTGCATGGTGATCTTGATAAAAATATTTATATGCACCAACCTGAGGGCTTTGTGGACCCTAAATTGCCTGATCATGTGTGTTTGTTAAAAAAGGCTTTGTATGGTTTAAAACAATCACCTAGGCAATGGAATATTAGATTTGATAAATGCATGCAATCTTTAAAGTTCAAAAGGAGTTCTGCTGATCACTGCCTCTATTATAAGAATATAGACTTTGTGCCTGTATTTCTTGTAATTTATGTGGATGACATGTTGATTGTTAGTCCTTGTTTGAAGTCTATTGAGCATGTTCAAAAATATCTTTGTAAAAATTTTGACATGAAAGACTTAGGTGATGCTAAAAGAATCCTAGGCATGAATATTATTAGGGACAAAAACAAATCTACTCTAGTTTTAAACCAAAGTTCATATGTTAAAAAAATTTTGAGTAAATTTGCTATGTCTAATGCCAAATCTGTGAATGTGCCTCTTGCTTCTTATTTTGTGTTAAGTAAAGATCAATCTTCCAATACTGAAACTGAAATAAATGATATGAAGAAGGTGTCATATTCGAATGCTATAGGATCTGTCATGTATCTC